GTGGGGATGAAAACTGCACTGGGATGGGGAGAAAACTGCACCGGGGTGGGGTGAAAACTGCACCGGGGTGGGGAGAAACTGCACCGGGGTGGGGTGGCAGTGGGGAGGGGAGGAGCCTCATATCACAGGTAGAGTCAGGTGCGGAGGGGGTGCGGAGAACGAGCACCGGCTGTTCTGGGGGTGTTACTGGCCCCTCTTGGGCCCACAGGCAGGGGCATGGGGAAAGAGCTCAGGGTGGATCAGGGCAGAGTGCTGGCTGCACTATGGGATGGGTGCATACGACATTTTCTGCGCCCGAAGTGGCTTTGGTCCCCCCTTTCAGTGGAAAGAACATGTTTCCCCTTGCTGCTGGCTTGCTAGCTTCTCTCACTTGTGGAGACTGGTCCCCCTAGGACCCCTGCTTCCCCTTCTCTAGGGCGGGCTCCCATGCACCCTCACTGGAAATGAAGGAGCTTCGTGTGGGGGATGCCCAGGCTGCCATCCAAAAGCTGGAGGCAAGCTTGTGAAGAAACACCCTTTACCCTACAAAAATACTTTCACTTACAAAACGGGGGATGCTCACTTCAGGGAAGGGCGCAGAGTGTAAATATTCTGGGTGGCGCTTGTAGCAGAGGCTGGGGTGAACAAGACGATTAGCAGGGAGGGTTGCTCTTTCAGGTTTTACTGGGGTGTTGGTAAGGGGGTCAAAGGAACTAGAGTTCCTTGGCAGGGGTCGTTCACGTGGGGGCCGACTGCTTCCTATTTGGAGCAGGGCAGGTGGGGGCAACTGACTGCATCCTGCTTGGAGCAGTTAGTTGAGCAGGGTGCCGTAGAGCTGGGCCTTAGTGAGGCTGTCCTTGCGGCTCAGCCCAGACCCTCCAGTCCTGGGGAAGGCCTGCTGGGGGCTGAGACGGTTAGGAGGGTGCATTTCAGGAGAGCCCTCCATGGAGCTGGGCTCCAAGGAATCCCGGGACCCATGCTCGGGCTCGGGGCTGCTGGCAGCCCCGCACAGCTGCACGGCCAGCCTATCCCCATCCCCATCACTGGCTGCGTAGCCAGGGTCAACTGAACGGTTAGGGCTGCGGAGGAAGCAGGCCTCAGCCAGATGACCCTGGGAGAGGTCATCGCCCTCCGAGAAGCTATCAGCTTTGTAGCTAGCATAGAGGGGGCTGCCACGGCCCTCGGCCTTGCCTGGGCTGCTGCGGCCTCCGCGGCCGCCTCCACGGTAGAAGCGGTCAGCGAAGGGCGAACGGCGGCCTCCTCCTCCGTTGCCAGGCTGGTAGTTGTAGGCGCCGACATCCTCCACGCTCACGGGGCGCCACTGGCCACGAATGTTCTCGCCTCCTCCTCCGAGCCGGTTCCCGCTTGGCTTGGCCCTCAGGCTCCACAGGTTTGGAGGCATCAGAGCCGGCTGGGGACCTGGGGAGGTCGGGAAGCGGTAGGAGTCGGCCTGGTACGGAGACACAGTCCGAGCATAACCTGGGGCGCCCTGGGCCTCGAGCGGGGAGGCCAGGGTGGCCGAGGCCCTGGGGTAGCGAGGGCTGCTCCCGTAGGCGCCCGCGGGCGGCTTGCGGTTGAAGAACTCGTCGCGGCTATTCATGTAGATGGCCTGCTGCGAGGCGGTCAGCGTGCCCGCCTGCGCGTGCTCCTTCTCCTCGGACGTGGCGCTGAAGCTGGAGTAGGAGCTGGAGGTGCGCAGCGACGCCGCGTAGCCTGCGAAGGCATCGCGGCGGCGGCGGTAGGCGTCGGGGAAGGCTGCCCCCTCGGCCTCGGCTTCCTCCTCCTCATCCGCCGCGCTGTCGGTGGAATTCTGGCCCCGCAGGAAGCCCACCTCGGCCACTGGCGTCTCCACGCCGGGTCGCCGGTCATGCTGACGCTCTTCGGGGCAGTAGAGAGCCTGGTCGCTGCAGTAGATGTCTTCCTTGTACTGGGGACGCGCGCCCGACTTCTCGGCTCCGGCTCCATCGCAGAAGCTCAGGTCGCAGACCGAGGCATCCGACAGGTGCGAGGACAGACTTCCAGGGTCTGGCTTCTCTAGCACCTGGCCCATGACGCAGGTGGGCACGCTGTCAGCGTAGACCGGATGGCAGCGTTGAGAAGGAAGGCTGCAGCCATGCTTCTCCATGTGCAGGCTCACACGCTGCTGGAACTCCGAGGGAAGCTGGAACGGGCATGAGGAGGAGAGGAGAACAGAAACAAGTCATAGTCAGCAAAGCCGCTCAGCCCCGGCCTCGAGGCCAGGGCCACACCAGCATCACCAACAGACAGAGACAGACAGACAGACAGACAGACGACAGCCCCCACCCCCAGGCGTCTCACCTCACATTAGTGGGGGCAACTTAACTCCCAAGGACAAGTACCTGGGGGTTCCCCATCACCTCTACCCACCCACCCAACTCCAATGGGCTCAGCAGACGTTGGCTAGGCTCCTGTTCTGCACCCTTTCTGGTTCCTGCTAGTGAGGGGTGACATGTTCCTGTTGGCCCAAAGTGTCTGTAGCCCCCCTAGACTGCTGAACAAGGCAGACTCAGATGCAACAAAGATTGAGGGATCAGTGCCAGGTGCCAAAGGTTTCCACGGTGTGCCTGGTGGCAGGTGGGGGGGGTGTCCAGCTATTGTTTGATCTGTTTTGTGAGTGTTGCAGGTTTGGCTAGGCCTGGGGAAAGGGGACACGGGCAGGGGTCTGGTTAGGAGACTTCTTGTGCATGTGGGCTGGGAGGGACAGTCTGGACAGGACGGTCACAGATGGGCAGGGAGGGCTCTGCTGCCAGTTCACTCTGTATGCCTTCAGTGTGTGCCCTGTCCTTGATGTCTGTTTCTTGTATCTGGTAATGGCCTGTCTCTAATTGTGCAGTCCCCAAAGGAAACGGGTGTGTAGCCCTACTAGGTTAGAGTAGCCCCTGGAAGTGCAGTGTGGGGCCACCTTTCACCATCAGGAAGCCAGGACCCAGGTGCACGAGGGATGAGGGTTCAGGCTCACCCGGTTGCTTCTTCGTGGAGGGTGGGGAGAGGCTTCGGGGTGGGATGGCCCAAAAGGAGCCGGGTGGTCCTGGGACGGGGCGGGCCTGGCTATGGGGCGGGGCCACGTTACCTCGGACGCCTTTTGGACCCTGCTGGACGCCTTTTGGACCCTGCCGTAGCTCTGGCTGCACTGCAGCAGCTGGGCCGCTAGATTGCAGTCCTTCCTATAGAGCTCCTGGAAGACAAAAGAAGGTGTTTGGCACAGCCCCCCGGCCAGTGCCCAGTGCCAACGGGGCGATCGGAGGGGGAGAGCAGAGCAGGCAGGGCAGCTGGTTCTGGCCAGTCCCTGTCCAGGCTCCGAATCCTCCCTGCAGTCAAGGGCCTGTTTTGACCTGGAGCTGCTGGTGTATAGAGGATGCCCTGTCAACACGGGGCTCTCCACAGGTTAGGGTGGCAACAGGTAGGCCCCCATCAGCTCCAAGCTCCCAGATACTGGATGTCTGGTCCACCGGGTCTGGGTTTCCTGTTCCTCTAGCTCCAGGGATGAACCCCAACCCTCCCACCCTGATTTGCCCCTTGTGCTCAACCCGCTTCATGGTACTGCCTGGCCTCAGGGCTGACTGCCAGGCTGGGTCAGGGCAGGTGTATGGCCCCCAGGTGCAGAAGGGACCCTGCTCAGCCTCCTGAGCTGAAAACAGATGCAAACATTAGGAATGGGGGGGGTGCTTTCACCTTTGGAAATAAATCTCTGTTGCATGTGCCTGTATTGGGCTGTTCCTTGCTGCTCTCCAGAGATGACAGCTGTCATAGGACGCACCTGCACTGCCCAGAGGGCCCAGAGGGCACCTGCACTGCCACAGCCCCATTCAACTCTTCCCTGAACTTCCTAGAACAGAGTTGGAAGTCATCCCCCAACAGCAGCTGCCATGGGCACTGCCCAGCCAGCCCAGGCCAGCCACAGTGAGCAGGGATGCCTCTTGGAGACGTAGGTGGCCTTGGACAGAAGTGCACATTAGAGCCAGGCTCCTTGCTTGAGCCTCCTGCGCTTGGGACCTCTCTGCCCTACTCTGGGAAGGGCTCAGGCCACCTGGCCACTGAGTGCTTAGTCTTCAAATCCTAAGTGACACGCTCTAGTGGAACTAACTGAAACTGCCACTGCCACACTTAGTTCGTCACTTAGCACTTCTAACAGGCTACTCAGACTGCTGACTGCCCAATTTACTGTCTACTTTCCCCATGTGGACTTAAAATCCCCAAGGGCAGCCATGTTTTTTTCCTTGGTCTGTGCTTGTCAGACCATAATCTCAGAACCTCGTACGATCTCATGGCAAGGAGCACAGGCTGATTAGTGTGTCCACAGTCAGCCCACAGGGAACAGTGGGAAGCGGCTGGCCATCTCACGGGGCTCCTTTGGATTATCACACAGTTGTGGGGTGACACTGGAGCTGGCTGAAGTTGAAAGTCTTGTGTGGGTGGGATAGATGGCCTCCTGTATCCCATCTGCAGCCCTGCCATCAGGGATTCTGCCCTTTCTCAGTTGTCCGGGGCACTTCTCCAAGTCCTCACTGCCCTGTCCCTCCCCTTGTCTGGGGCCAAGCTGGAGTCCCTCTGAATCAGAACGGCCCTGCCTGCCAAGGCTTCCCTTGGGAACCCCCCCCCAAAAAAAAAAACCTGCGACATCCCTCCAGGGGCCAAACGAATATGGCACTCACGTTGTCCTCCGACAGCTTATCAATGGTCACCTTGGCCTCCAGCAGGTGGCTGTTGAGGGCCACAATCTCGTGGTTCATCGCCCGCTTCTCTTCTTCATAGTGCTGGCCCTGGGCAGTGGGGCAGTGGAAGGGGTAGCTAGTGGTTAGTGCCACAGCCCAGCTGCTGGGTCAAGGCTTTTGTGAGCCCAACAGCTGTTGATGACAAGGTGCTCAAAAGGCTAATGGTGTAGGAGTTAAGACCACAGACTGATCCCGGTTTAATCCCATCTCGATAATGATAAACTGGATTAGCCTAGGCCAGTCCCTCCACTGAGCCTCAGTTACCTGCTCCCGATGTCCTTCTTATGTGGTGAGAAGTATGGCTTGCCCTGCCCACCTGTCTCAATGAGTGGAGAAGTGATGGTTAGCATGGCCCAGCCCCTACCTATCCTGCCCCCTTTGTCCTCAGACTGAAGACAGGCAGGCCTTGAACACCTGTCACCAAACAAGATCAAGCAGGAGCCTCATCCTAAAGAGAGGAGGTGCCAGAGCCCCACGGCCATTCTCCGTGCTGCCTGCACAGGCATGGCTTCCCTGGACCCCACCTCGTTCTCATCCTGAGAGCACCTCCCACTTGTGAGAACAAGCCTCAAGGGGCCACTCAGAGAGGGGGCAGGTAGCGTGCACTGGGGCCTCACCATCCGGTACAGCTTATCCTCCAGCTCTTGGTTGACACGCTGCAGCGTCATGTAGTTGCTCTGAATCCTGCAGCAGGAAGCAACAGTGTCAAGACTCGAAAGGCCTGACCTTCCTACAAGCAAGCCCAGCAACCTCACGGCCGCCATGCCCTGCTTAGCATGGCTGTCGGGCTCCTAGGCTTGTGCCACCAGCCCTACCTGATCCAATGTCTGCACTCAGGATCTGATCAGAGCTGACTTCTGTCAGGGCTTCTCCTAGGCCATGGTCAAAGTCCCATTGTTCTGCCCACCCACAGTAGGGCTCTTTGGAGAGAGCACAGGGAGGCTTGTGTGCATAAGAGCCTGTAAGAGCTGTATGCAGTTCTTAGAAGCTGGCAGGTGGCTTACAGAAGGACACACGTGTATATGTGGCCCCGAGATGAGTGCCAGTGACCAAGAGGGCATGTGGCTCCACCTGGAAAAGCAGGTAGAGACGGAGCAATATGCTTTGGGCTTCTCTTGCTGGTGGCTGGGGGACCAGGCATGGTGGCTGTGTGTCCTCTAGACAACCTTTGCAGTATTATTGCTGCCTTGCCAATAGGAAAGGGACACAAAAAGACGCTTAATGCAGTTTAGTGGCAGAGCAGAGCTGGGATTTTAACCAAGCCTGGCTCCCACACAGTGTGGAGTGTATTCAAAAGCCCAGAAGAATGGGACCATTCGAAGAGGGACACACTGCCCTCGGGACAATGCCAGCCGCTCCTCTAAGTATTTAAAACAAACTCAGCCAACAGCAGCCTGAATCCTCTTTGTGTTTCTAAGCTGGGGATACCCACAATAGGGTTTAGAAAAGCCAATGCCAGAAGGAAAACGGTGTAGGAATCTCTCAATGCATCCTGAGTCCCCAAGTCACTCAAGATGCCACTTTTATATCCACATTCGTCTTGGGAGCTTTTGTGGCCAGTGGGGAGGGGTCTGGAAGCAGCCCCACCTATGCTGCTGTTGGCTCATCCAATGTCAGAGTATTGCATGTATGAGGGCGTGAGAAGGCAGGTCTGGAAGAGGGCACTGGAAGAGCCTGACAATGGCATCAGTGGGTCGCAGGTTCAAGCCCTGGGTAGGCTGCTCTGCTCCACGTTTGCCAATCATCCCCGCAGCTAGCACTGCGGTGACCTAGCTGTATGCAGCTAGATCCTCACCATCCTCACCTGCGCAGTTTCTCAGTGACCTTGTCCAGTTCCTCCTGAGCTCGGCGCAGCTCAATCTCCAGGAAGTGACGGGTGGAGTCAAACTCTGTCTCCAGCTTCTCCAGCCTGTGGGTGGTGTAGGACAGCCGCTTGCGCAGCTCGCCCTTCTGCTCCTGCAGGGCACTGCAAAGCAACAGGCAGCTTGGCCAGGCTGTGCCACTGAGCAAGGGGAAACTGAGGCCACACTGGCCAGCCAGGCATGCTGTGGGCATGTACTGTGCTCTCGACCCCACTATTACTTGAATATGTGCACTGAGGCATAACCCGGTGCTCTCTGTGGCGGCTTTGCCAGCACTCGTGTCCTTCTAGGGGTCAGGACTCTGTGTTGTCCCCTGGGTGCTCACACTCCATCCCATCTTAGCCCCAACACCTGAGACTGTAACTTGCAGTAGACTTGCAGTAGGTAGGGGGCAAAAGGGAAGGAAGTTCAGGTGCCTGGGGGAAGGGGGTGGGAGGTGCTGGGAGCCCCAAGTCTGCCCAGATGCACTATGGGACTAGGCACCCCACCCCCACCCCGACTCAAAACCCAGTGAGGGGTGTGGAGGGCCGGCAGGCATCATCAGAAGTGTCCCCAACCCTGTGAGTAAGCCACACATGTCACAGGCACACTCCCAGCCACCCCCATTAGGCATTCCTGGATTCCTGCCCAGGCCTGAGGAAAGGGGGCGGGTCCTCCTGAGAGTCAGTCCCCAAAAGAGATTCTAAAGTAGCAAGGGAAACCCAAAGGCAAGGCCTTGCTGCCCACACAGGCCCAGTTGCCAGGTGTTCTGTTGTCTCTGCCAGCTGTCTCTTTGCTGCTCTCCTCCAGGCAGCCCGCCCAGCTGCATCAGCCCACTCCAGGCAGCCGCTACTCAGGCCCTTCCTCCCTTGTGGGGTGGCAAGCTTCCAGGAGTACCCACTCCATCCAAAGCAGAGTCACAGTGGGCAGCAACCCTTGAGGTTGGGAGGCCATAGGAAGAGGCTGTGCCCTCGGGAAGAGACGAGAGCCTGGTCCATCTGTTGTGGTGCCCCCCTCAGCACAACTCATTCGCCAGTATCCAGGCCAAGCTCTTGGGAAGCTGGACCTATAGCATGGTAGGCTGTGACACTCGGCCCCGACCCTCGAGGTCTATGAGGCAGCCTACCCCACATGCCTGCAGACACCTGTCTCTACTCAGTTCAGACCCTGCCCGCACTGACAAACCCAAGCCAGCCTCTACATCATCCCTTGTTCCTCTACCCTGCCTTGGGCACCCACAGGGTCAGGAAAGGAGCTCCAGGGTGCATTCCATGCAGCGCCGGGACCCACCAGGGAGCATTGTTTCACAGAGCCTCAGTTTACCCTGGCCAGCCAATGGTCTTCTAGACATTGGCTCACTGGTCCACCAGCCCTTCCAGTCCCTGCCCCTCTCAGCCATCACAGCCACCTTCCAGGACAGTTGGCCAATAGAGCTCCAGCTGCTGGATCTCCGGCCCCCTTGCTCCAGGGGCTACATCACCCAGGCCCCTGGCCCAGACACACAGCCCCAGTCACTGCTGGTAGTGTTACCATGACCTCTTCTTCCTTGCATCTGGCACCATCTTACCTATAGGCCTTTGCCTTCCCTGCCACTGCACCTTGGGTCATGTTCAAGACTCATCCCCACACCAGCCACACCCATCACCTTCTTGGACTCCGCCCACCAGTCTGTGTCCCATTGCTTCCAGCCTGCCCTCTGAACCCCACAACCTGGAGAGGGTCATGACAACTTCTCTTCGTCCCTCCCTTACACCTGGCCGTACCCTGGGGTCAGAAGTTCTAGACAGGAAGCCTGGTGGTTACTTGGGTGTTGCCAACATCTCTGTCTAGTGTCCTCTCCTCCCATGGACTAACTCAGTTACTCCCAGGGCCTCAGTTTCCACACTTGTAAAGCAAGAATGGCATAGCCACATACAGGGAGCTGGGACCTGTGAGAGCCAACTGACACAATGGGATGATGAGGGAGGTGTGGTGCCCCCCTCAGCACAACTCACTGTGTGGGAGTGGGAGCTTCCAGGCCACTGAGAGACCAGGATAAGCTGTAGGCTCTAGGGCTCCTAAGGGGTGAGGATATGACTGGATAGGTGAGCAGCTGGGTCAGTCTTTCCTGGTACCCAGACACAGCCTCCTCCTCCTCCTCCTCTCTCTCTCTCTCTCTCTCTCTCTCTCTCTCTCTCTCTCTGTGTGTGTGTGTGTGTGTGTGTGTGTGTGTGTGTGTGTGTGTGTGTGTGTTGCAGGGTGGGTGGGTATTTCAGTTTACAGGTTATAGTCCATCAAGTTGTCAAGAGGAAGCCATGGGAACAGCCTCTTAATAGATGCACAGGGGAGGGGAGGAGGGCTGAGGAACTGAGCAGCCAGAGCCCCGCCCTCCCAGGTGTGAGGGTGAGGCCCCTGGTGAGTGAAGGGCAGCTGCAGTGTGCTATGTCTTGGTCCTCTCTTCCGCTGGAAGCCGAGGCAGGAACCCCATGGTTCAAAAAGGGGCCTGAAGCAGCCTCTTTCTATAATGCCTCTTTGCCAAAGATGGAGCTGGGCTGTAGGGACAGTTGAGACAAGAGACCCTCTTCTGAGCTGGATGCAGACATGGGACAGACAAAGGGACACCAAGGAGTGAGGGTGTAGAGGTGGGGATAACAGGTGTGTTACCTGTCCCAGAGCAAGGGTCAGGACCTGGCCAGGTTGCCCTGCAGGACTCGGGCTGCTTGAGACACAAGGGCACCCAGGGGCTGTGCAGCCCTGTGAGTGACAAGGATGGAACTTTTCAGAACATGTGGGGGCTCAGGGTGGGGCTGTAGTTCCTGACTGAGGCCAAGAGGGGAGGATTTTGAGGAGCAGCTGTGCATCTGACAGCCCTTGCTGGTAGCTTTAGAGGCTCTGAGCTCTTTGATGGCACCGGGTTCCACTGTGGTAGGGTTCCTTAGTCACTGGCTGGGTTTATTTTGGGAGGTTCTGTTCCCACACACAGGCCTGCATCCTCTATCTTAGCCTCAGGTATGTTGTAGGGAGAAGCACCCCCCCAACACACACACACATACACACCCTCTGGGTCTATCAAGTGCATGTCCTATACTGGTTCTGGTTCCTGGAAGGCTCTGCTCCTGGTGTGTGTGTGTGTGACTTCTGGGTCAGAGGGGCAAAGAGGGGCAGGTGGCTCCTCTCTGCAGGGAGGCCACATTGGCTGATGTATGTGAGTCACTTGAGTGTGGGGTCTGTGATGCTAAGGGTCTCTTCATCCTCTGCTGGGACCCTGCTCATCCAGCCCTGCTGGAGGCCAGTACTGCACATGTGCCTGCCACAGGGCCATGGCGGGCCTGGAGCCTTCGAGGTCAGGCCTGACGCATGGACTTGAGGGGGGCACACGTTGCAGGAGTGCTCAGAGCTGAGGTAATGTCAAGCAGCCGCTGAGGTGGGTCAGTGACCCCCGCAAGCTCTCCTGGCTGGCCCAGAAACCAGGCTTTCAGAGAGGGCTCGAGGATGAGGCAGGTGTGCTGAGGAGCTGCATAATCCCATTTAAAAGACTCGCTGTGCAAACCATCACAGGAGAAGAGAAATGTTCATTTGTTACGCCTGGGTAGTGGAATGCTGGGTGATTGAAAAAAAAATGTATACTTTTCTGGATTTGTCATCTTTTCTACAGATGAAAAATCAGGAAAAAAATTTACTTAGGATCAAATTTTGTC